TTAGTATAAATACGAAAACCTACTTCTCCAAAGAAGATACTGCTGAAATTTTTGGTAAGTAAAAGAGTTAAACAAAATTTGACTTTGTAAAGTCAAAAATCGCTTTCATATTTCATATACACCCAAGTATAAATTTTGAAAAAACACTTTCTCTAGAGGGAGTGTTGTCAAAAAAAAATTAGTTTCAAAAAGTTATATTATATTTGGTAAGAATTTTTTTTTGTTACCCACCCTGTACATGGGAGATGCTTCAAAAATTTTTGATATCTTTCGATTTCATGTAAAGTTGTACTTTAGGTTTAGTCATATAAAAAATTGAGTGAGATGTGGTATGAGGGTTTATTCTCCATATATTTAGTTTAGTTCTTGGAATTGGTTTGTTTTGTATTACATGTATTTTTTATCGTTCCGGTTTAAGATTTAACTAGTTTCAACCCGGTCCTACGATGATTGTCTTGTGTTATCTTTTGATAACATGTCGGTTTTCGACTAAACTTGAACACATTATCACTATTTAACCTAAGACCTCTTAGTCTCTGCGGGTTAAAATGTTTCCTTGGATTTTTACCCGAACTTTTGTTAAATGACAATTTAGAAAGGACCGAGTGTTTTAGTTTGGAAGGTTGGACAAAGTTTGAGGTTTTTGTGAATAAGGCAAGGGATATGAGTGCAGTGAGTGGTTGAAGTTGACCCCGTGTAGTGTGTGGCTTGTTAATTGTAGGCATGTTTTTGTGAGTTGAAGTCCGAATTTGATGTGTCTGCGATCATGTGTATCTTTTGATGTGAGTCACCCTGTGATTGTGAGAATAACCGCCTCGTGTCTTATAACCCCGATTATATTTATGTTTTTGTGTCTCCACGTGGTCGTACTCAAGGATTGGACAAATTTAAATTTAGTCTTTCACTTTTTAGAATGTTTATAATTTGATGTTGAGGTCGGTGACAATTGTTCAAGTCAAACCCCTTGACCTGTTTTCAGACCTCCGAAGATGGAGCCTTGGATCCAAGGTTAGAGGCATTTGACCGCCACTAAAGGGCGAAGCCCGCCTACCACACCTCTTCGTAGTATGCAGAAGAGAGTAGATTTTGTAATCGCACTTACGATTGTCTAACGTCGAGAGATTAACCCCTCAAGACGTACGTCATCCTCGCAACTGCTCGTGCAACCATGCATGACTAGTCGAATGTGACAAGGCCTACATCCGCAATATTTATTATGAGTCTCTCACGTGATGTTTATATATTTTATATTGTCGAAAGTTTATGCAAAGGATACGAAAAAGAGACTAAGCGTGACTTTTGCATGAAACTTCGTCTTATTTTTGTTAAGTGTATCACGTGGTTAGGTGGACCGTTCTAGTCGACCGGCGCAGAGTCGCGCTTGGAAAATCAACCCCATAGCGTCGGCTCACGTACGAGTTCGATTAAGGCGTTCGACCACACATACCTTTTATGCCACAACGTACGAGAAAACGCCCTCGGTTGGGCCACCTATGCGATTGCATTTGAACAACTTTCACATGTGATTCGGTAGCTTGGTGGGAATATGTTTGTCCAAGGGTGGTGACAACCTCTTGGGCAGAGGTGAAGTTGTGACTCAGGTGACCCCTCTCGTACTCGGTCGGAGCGATGAAAGTTTCACTGCGACAAAAGTCCTGCAAAATTCTGCGTGACTCGGCCTGGAGGGTCCCCTTGCTGGACTGATGCGCACGACATCTGTACCCTAGGGGTACACGCACAATGAGACCCTTCCTTTGCTCTATCGTAAAACCACGATAACACATGCACATGAATGAAATTCATTTATCTGGTACCTCAATCGTCATCGTTATGACGTTTACCATGCGGAAGTTCATGTGCTAGTGCATCCTTTAAGAGTAGTGGTCTGACAGGGGCATAAAACAAATATTATTTTTAGGCGTTGCAACTTAAAGTTTCTCAACACAAAAACAACAACAACAACAACAACAACAACAACAAAAGCATAAGTCACAAACCCCTCGTATCTCCTCCCCGCTTACGATTAGGTGCAGTGTCGTCAGGCTGGTTAACCAAAGATAAAACCAAAGACACCCCCTAAAACTAGATCAGCCACCTTGACTTGGGGGTCAAGGTTAGACCACCCTGGCGTCGACCCCACTACCTACTAGTATTAGGGGTTGAGTCCTTTAATGACTCATAAGGCAACATGAAACCCATTTGTGTGATCTGAAAGTGTTTATCGAGAGGTGTTAGGAATTGCGATGAATCCATTTTTCTTCATCTTTCAGGGGTCCGATACTACACCTGAATGGATGACAAGCGTCAACTAAAAGGAGGTCCGACTCGGTTTGTTGTTTTTGGCGTGTTGGGCAATTTTAGGATCGACATGGGAGCTAGGCAAGGTAATGGTGGTTAAACCAGATCCAAATTCAAGTGCTTAAACCAATCCTCTCTGCTAGTGGGTTGATAAAGCATCCATTTTTCTTTTATTGTGTAAAAGAAAAAAAAGAAGAAAAAAAAGGACACCGCGAGCACGCACTACCGCCTCTCATTCCTTCCCGCCTTCATTACTTTGTACATTCCTCCATTTGGAGACAAAACCACATGCCCTGCCAACTGCAACACGAGAATGATTCACACAACCTACAACCTGGTTCAACTATCTGGCCTAGACCTACGGGCGACTGAACACTTCTTCTGTATTTTGAAACCCCAAAATGGTCCATAATTCCCCAAAAATGACGACACAACATTTTCCAAAACATACACAATTTTTATTTTTTTTCCCCCTTCGGGCTTAAGGTATTATTAAACCACCAATACTTGGTCCTACTATCGACCGTAGGAAAAAATAGAGTAGAAACGTTTACAGTCGGATAAAATTAGGCGCTCCTGTAGTAACCCATACGTTTCCTAAATTTGTGGCTTGTATACGAGGACGCCTTTAGGAAGTACTGGGGCCCAAATAATTCGTTGTTATTCCATTAATGTGGTACTTCAGGATTTGAGCACTGAACCATCAATCGGCATTTCATGGGTATACCAGCCAACCATGTGGGCTGAATTTCTTTTTTGGGGGGGCAGGGAATTGCATTTGTACCCCGTTTAAAGATGGGACTACACCAACGGGCTTAGTTTAGTCGGTACACCCATAAATTGTTAAAACACAAACCTGAGTTCAAATTAGGACGGGAGCAGATGAACAACATTCCTAAATTTATTGGGGTTGGTAAGTTTCATGATGATGTCTTAAGGTTGTCGCCCATTTTTAAAAGGAGGAAAACCAAAGAGCCTAGCTCGGTTGTTATACCCATGAAGTGTAATGAACTATTGAATTACAGACCCGAGTTCGAATCCTGATCGACATTGATAAATGCAATGAAATAATCATGAATTACTTGGTGCCGGTGAACTGACGATGATGTCTCGAAACCGTCTTCCAAGTTCGAATCCTGATGGATGTTGTTCAATTGGTCAACAGAATGAAGACTATAGAAAAAAAGGAGGAAAAATAAAAGGATGGGAATACCAGGTATACCCAGTCCCAGACGTCCGACTTACACCTATACTCGATAATGGCCTATGCAATTTATTTGCATACTCGAGACCCAGGTGGGCCAAGGTTGATAACGCGAAATTACAATTATACCCAACTACCTGGATGCTCAAATTATGCACATACCGAGCAAATTATGTGCATACAGAACTTTGCCTGCCCGGTGGTTTTAGGGCATGAGCATATTTTGTGCTCTCTAACCAAAGGCCTGTGGGACTGGGTACACATGTAATTTGGCACAAGGGAAAAGTAGGGGAAAGTAGGACGGGGTCCCTAGGACACTACAGATGCAATTTTCCCTTCTTGTTTTGGGATAATTTGCTAAATGCCCCTGAAAGATATAGATAGATCAAAATGCCCTTTTGGGCCAAATTCTGTCTTATGCCCCTGTCAGGCTGGTGTGCAAGCAATCTGGACCTCACCGGGCCTTCGCCGTCTGCAATCGGGCCTTGGAAAAAAGTTGGCAAGTACAGGGGCACTTTGCAGAGTTGTACGGTGCCTGATAGGGGTATATTGCAAAGATGGGGGGTCCAAGAAACGGGGGACTTTGCAGAGTTGGGCGGTGCCTTGTAGGGGCCCAACCGACACCAGGGGGTATTTCACAAAAGTTTTTTCCTGTCAGAGGGTTATTCCACTCTATTCACATCTTTTAGTGGCATTTTAACTTATGGGGTATTTTGCAAATTATCCCTATCGTTTGTTTTTTTTTTCCCCTTTTTATTTTTTAAAATTTAAAGGGGGCAGGCAACCTGCGCCGCATGGTCCCCCTATCGTTTTTTTTGGCGGGCGTTTTTTTTTTTTTTTTTTTTTTTCGTTTCCCAGACGCGGGCGGTTGGTTTCGGTTTGCCTTTTTTCGTGTTGGTTTCGCTTTGTTTTCTGCGCCTCGAACCGTTGCCGCTGTGCTGCCGTTTTGAGTCTTCCTGCGCTGTTTGAGAACTGCAGTATTTTGCTCCTCCGCTCCAGTGGGGTTCGAACTCTGGTCTGTTCTCCAACGGTTCAGCAGGTGCGCTGAACCAACAAGTCGGCGGTCCTGCGCTTTTTGAACCAACTGTTGTTGGCGCTCATCTGCTTCAGTGGATTTCGAACTCTGAGTTTGAACTCTGCCTCAGCGAGGGCGTACTCACACTACTACTTTTTCACCTATTTTTGGACGGAATTGCGGCCCGTACATCCAGGTATGGCAGTGAACGCGGTCAGATACACTTGAGAAACTGCTAGTGTGAGTACGCCCTGAGGTTCGAACTCTGCTTCAGTGGAGCTCGAACCGTATGATCGGCGCCAACAACCGCCGGTCCTGCGCCTGCGCTCTTTGAACAGTTGTTGTTGGCGCCGATCATACGGTTGCTCTGCTGGATCATACGGTCTCTGCCAGGGCCCCCTCGCCGTTGCCGTGGCCCTTGCCCTTGCCCTTGCCCTTCCTGTTCGCCGTTGCCGTTGTCATTATCGTAATTACTACCGCCACCTGGTTTTGCACTCTCGCGGGGGGTGGGTGGTTGGGTGTGATGATCACCCAACCAAATACTCAGCTGCGCACCGAGGGGGTGAGGGGTCATTTTTCATTTCCTTCTTGACGGAAAAGAAAAAAAACCCCGCCGGCCGGCGCTTGTTTGGAGCTTTTTCTGCACTGCATGTTGTGGCGACGCCTCTTCCCTGGTGAGTCTCTCTCTCTCTCTCTCTCTCTCTCTCTCTCTCTCTCTCTCTCTCTCTCTCTCTCTCTCTCTCTCTCTCTCTCTCTCCTGTACACACGGACACACGCAAAAGCTGATGATGAGTCGGTGAAACTCCGACGTAACAGTCTGGCACACTCATGCTTTTCTTTAGTGGAGGTGTGCAAAGCGAACATGACAACACACACACACACACACACACACACACCTTACTCACACACGCACCTTACTCACACACACGCCTTACTCACACACACTCTCTCTCTCTCTCTCTCTCTCTCTCTCTCTCTCTCTCTCTCTCTCTCTCTCTCTCTCTCTCTCTNCTCTCTCTCTCTCTCTCTCTCTCTCTCTCTCTCTCTCTCTCTCTCTCTCACACACACACACACACACACACACACACACACACACACACAAGCGCACACAGACACACACACACACTCAGCTCGTCGCACGACTGACGAAACGTGAAAAATGGCCAGTGCGTCTTCTTCTTCACATTGAGGGCCTTGCCGCACCACTCGCCAGATGTGAAGAAGACAAAAACATGGCGGATGTATCTTTCCATGTTCTAGCTGGAGGTACATTCCCGTTTTGCACGTTTGGTGAGTAGTGCGGCGAGGCCCTGAGTGGCCAATATCTATGTCATTATGCACTTCGGAAGTCGTGATCTCTCTCTCTCTCTCTCTTACCCTGGCCTCGTCGTGTCGGAGGTCGCCCTATCATTTGGGTTCAATGCCCTCGTCACAACCTCCCATTCGATCTCGCAGCACGGCAAACGAAACGGATGATCTTCTCACAGAAGACGGCAAGATACATCCGTTACGTTACTATGAATACAAACAAATGCATCTTGCCACCTTGAGCGGGAAGGCGCATCCTTTTTTTTTTTTGTCTCATTTCGTGTGCCGTGCGGCGAGGCCCATTATCAATCCCCGCATCAACAGCTAAATCGCGACCCCCTCCAACATCGGGATCCGAATCCATACCGGGACTAGAATCGGATCCCGATGTATCGAGCTTGATCGGCAATCAGCGGCAGGTAACTCGTGAGGCTGATGACGATCCACGTCACATTTAATCGTTACGTCATCAGAAATTGGAATGGTTGCAATACGTATATGACTGTACTGTCTCTCTCTCTCTCTCTCTCTCTCTCTCTTTCTCTCTCTCTCTCTAGGGTTCAGCCTCTACTGATTGATGAGTAGGTAGGTGAAAATTGGACGAAATAGTTTGTCACGGCCCGTCGTATGTTGTCCTCTTCTCCCTTTCTCCCTCTCTGCCTACGGTTTACCGGGCAGATCTTCTGCTTGACGATATATATTCCTCATTGTACACATCTCTATCACCCAGATATACGTTGTCCCTWTTGTGCCCAAGGACGCTGTCAGAACTGTATGATGCCGCAGTGTGATGAACGTCCTGCTGTTTTTTTGACATGTGGATAAACATGTCCTCTGTCAGGACTGTTTTGATGGGATGGTTCGTGCTATCCGTCCTGCTGAATGCTGTGCTGGCGCAGCTCTCCTTGGGCATCCTTGTGAACATCCACATCATCCTCACCGTAGCTGTCCTATCTGCCGAGGTGGGGACAGGTAAAGAAAAAAAGAAGAAAAGAAAAAGAGAAAAAAAAGAAAAAAAGAGAAAAAAAGAAAAAAAGAAAAAGAGAGAAAAAAGAAAAAAAGAAAAAATATGTTGATCTGTGGGATGTGTTATTTGCTTTGTGACAAGTGGATTATCTTTCTTTCCCTGTCAGGTTTGGTTTCCTCCTCCTTTTCTTTAGTACCTCTTTTTGGCCTTTTGGCTGCGCGCAAGTGGGGGGTCCTTGTGACACACGGGGATGGATGGGGGCAGCCAGCGCTCAACCTGTCATCCACGTGGCTGGCCTTGTACGTAAGAGGTGAAGAACAGGTGGGGCTTTCCTTCCTTACTTCTTTTTCTTTTTCTTGTTTTGTCTTTTTCCGCCTTTGCCCTCCGATTTCCAGTGTGACTATATATATGTATATACACAATGTGACAATATATATATATATATCGTTTCGTGGGTGTTTTGATGGCTTGTGATGGGGTGTGAACCGACAGTCTGTAGAGTTTTTTCCATCTGGTGTGGGTGAGTGATAGTCTGCTTTGATTTTCGTCACATGAGGCACCTTGAGGGCAGTGGTTGGTGGTCCCCACCTCCTCAAATGGGTATCATCAGTTGTCGGGCAGTCGTTGATGCTTAACCACAACCGAATGGGGTTAAGGTGGATTATTATATCACTTAAAGTGTAATCATAAGTTTAGGGGATTCTTCAGACTTTTTTTCAGGGTTCAGCCCCTCTCGTTTGTTATCCTCTTCTCCCTCTTGTCCCTCCCTCTCTGCCTACTACGGTTTACCGGGCAGCTCTGTATTACATATGTATTCATGTACAGGGTCAGATCTGACTTGTGTTGATTCAATGAATGTAAGCTCGGTGAGATCTCGCTTGTAAAGCGTATTCGCTCGAGGACTTTTTAACTGCAATTACGGCCCGTTGTGGGTGTATCTGACCGCAATTACGTCCAGAGCTGAGTAAAAACGGTCCTAGTCTGAGTACGCCCTTACTGTTATATTGATTCTCCGAATTAACGTGTATTGTAAAAAAAATGTGGACAGGCTAACCCCCCTTGGTTACCCTTGACTCATCCGTGAGTCTGGAGGGGTAAAGAATTATAAAAGTTGTCTGCCCATTCTTTACCCGTTTAAATGGGCAAATAAAAATAACACCCTTTTAAATGGGTAAAGAATGAGTAAAGGAGGGGTAAAGAATGTGAAAACGGTGAAGGGTAAAGAATGAGTAAAGGAGGGGTAAAGAATGTGAAAACAGTGAAGGGTAAAGAATGAGTAAGAAATGGGTAAAGAATGTGAAAACAATGGGTGAACAAAAAAAATGGGTGAAGAATGTTAAAACAATGGGCGAAGAATGTGGGTACAGGATAAGATAATGAATGGATAAAGGATGGGTGAAGAATGGGTGAAGAATGCCCTTGTAAATAAATAGGTAGATAATGGGCCTCGCTCCACTACTGAACATTCGACTTGAATCTGGATTGCAATATCGACCAGATACATTTGGACGGGTCCCAACATGTTCAATGTATCGGGACCAGCGGAGGGTCCACATACATTTCGAATGTTGTGCAGTGTAGCGAGGACCAATATGGGTACTGGGTAAAGAATGCGTAACGGTAAGAACGGTCTTTCTTTTTACCCATTTAATACGTATTATTAATGTGCTTTTTTATCGCTTAATGTGCACTCTAATTTTTTTTTTTTACGCCGTAACAAATAAAAGAAGTAAATCTTAGGTATTGTAAGAGATCCCAAAAAAATTATAGCATGGGCACCTTAGAACCTTTTCGACCGAATCTGGCCGTCATTACGGGCGGATACAATCAGAAATGTTTCTGATAATGTCAAAAATTCATAATTTCAAGGAATGCTAACTTCTTGACCGTAGATTAGAACGATCAGCAGCAGTCTCCCCCTCCCCCCCCCCAAAGAAAAGAAAAAAAAAAGAAAAAGAAGAAAAAAGAGAAAAAAAAGAAGAAAAAGAAAAAATAAAGAAGGAGAAAAAGAAAAAAGAAGGAGAAAAAAGAAGGAGAAAAAAGAAGGAGAAAAAAGAAGGAGAAAAGGAAAAAGAAGAAAAAAAAGAAAAAAAAGAAAAAAAACAAGGAAAAAAAGGGGAAAAAAGAAAAAAAAGAAAAAGAAGAAGAAAGGCAGATGGATAATCAAGGGAAGTGAGAGGTGGACGACTTAGCGATATGACGTCGGTTCATCACGGATCTGCTTATTCGGAATGCAGATGCACCTAACCGTGATTACGACCAAGTACTTTATCCCTTTTTGCCACCAACTTGATGGTAACCCTGATTACGACCAGGTACTTGAACTCCTTTTGCCACCGACTGGATGGTTATGAATATTCGTTCTCCTTTTTTTTTTTTAATGTAAAGATGTATATTTATGAAAAGTAGCATTATAAGCTTTGAGGATATGGTTCTACGAATCTAGCCTTTTTTTTTTTCAGGGCACATTTTTTTTTTTTGTGTGTGGTTTAGTCTCATTGCAAGTCTTAGGGTTTTTTTTTTTTTTTTTTTTATAGGAGAAAAAGACTATCTTCAAGGATTATATAATCTATTAGTTTTCTAAATATTTTTCCCCTCATTGCGAGTTGTACCCTTTATTTAGGTAAAACCCTGCAAGTGTGCTTTTTCCTTTTTTGGCAAGCGTGGTGTGACCTAGGACTTTCCCCTCAACGGCACAAATCCTCGGTTAGTCCAGGAAAAAAAGTCCAACTGTATATATATATTATATATCATTTTTTCCAAAATTTCAAAAAAAATCCCGATTGTTTTTCATTCTTTTTCCCATCCCGCCTTTCCAAAATTTTCCTTTCCAAAATTTTTCAATTTTATGGAAACCAAAATTTTCCAGGTTTTTAATTCTTTTCCCATCCCCCCCCCCCCTCCCCCCCCCCTCCCCCCCCCCTCCCGGTTTCCCTCCTGTTTCATTCTTATTGTACAACCGCCATGGGGAAAAAAGGGGTCGATCAATAAGAGGGGATAACGTGGCGTTCGACGGACATCAGCAGGCAAATGCCACGTCATCATCCGCTTCAGGTGGATTGGTTCGTTGATTGGATCATTAATCGCTTCGTTGATTGGTTCGTTGATCGTTTCGTTCATTGCTTCGCTGATTGGGTCGTTCATTGCTTGCTGATTGGGTCGTATTGGTTCGTTGATTGGATCATTAATCGCTTCGTTGCTGTCTCTTATACACATCTAGATGTGTATAAGAGACAGCATCGTTCATTGCTTGCTGATTGGGTCGTTGATTGCTTCGTTGAGTGGTTCGTTGAAGAGCGGAGCTTCGTTGACTTGTTGATTGGCTTTGCTGATTGGCTTTCTTGATTGGCTCGTTGATTGATTCGTTGGACAGCGGAGCTTCGTTGAGTGGTTCGTTGAAGAGCGGAGCTTCGTTGACTTGTTGATTGGCTTTGTTGATTGGCTTTGTTGATTGGCTTTGTTGATTGGCTCGTTGATTGATTCGTTGGACAGCGGAGCTTCGTTGAGTGGTTCGTTGAAGAGCGGAGCTTCTTTGACTTGTTGATTGGCTTTGTTGATTGGCTTTGTTGATTGGCTTTGTTGATTGGCTCGTTGAAGAGCGGAGGTAAGGAGAGAGGGAGGGAGTGCTATCAATGTAATGACGAGCGATTATCACCAACCAAACCATAATGGCTTCCTGCTACCCCCCCATGAAGGGGTGAAAGGGGATGATGAGGCTCCGCCACGTGTCGCCTCCGTGTGGAGGAGGTCGATGATCCAAATCACGGGAGGGTGGTGGCACTGAAAAAGCGGGATAAACCAGAGAGAGAGAGAGAGAGAGAGAGAGAGAGAGAGAGAGAGAGAGAGAGAGGAGGAGGAGGGTGATTTGGGATGACCCGCTATACGTTGTACATGTGGGAGGGGGTGGTGGGGGGACCAGGAGGAAGGGGAGAACAGGCAGGTAGAAGGAGAGAGAAGAGAAGGCAGAGGATCGCACAAGGAACTTTTCTGCTTGTATCGGCCCATAATGACGGCCAGATTCGGTGGAAAAGGTTTGAGTGTGAATGTGTCCTCGATATCTGCAGTTAGTGCAGAGGGTGGATCATCCAAAGCACTTCAGTTGAGTGACGCTCAAGTGGGGCCAACCGTCGGAGGAGGAAGGAGAAGAAGACGAAGGCGCGCAACACGCAGAGGAAATGGAGGGGGAGAAGAGGAGGAAGAAGAGGAGGAAGAAGAGGAGGAAGAAAGGAAAAAGAAGAACAGGAAGAAAGGAAGAGGAGGAAGAAGAGGAAGAAGAGGAAGAAGAACGGAAGAAGAGGAGGAAGAAAAGGAAGAGGAGGACGGCCACAAGGGATGCTCGATCCCAATTCAACTGAATGGAGTGACTCTGGCTTGGACTGAAGGAGTAATAGGAGGAGATAAAAGGAAGAGAGAGGACGAGAGGAGGAGGAGAGGCGGAGCAGGGAGAGGAGAGTAGAGGTAAGAGAAAGGAGAGAGACATATGAGAGGAGGAGCGGACAGAGAGGCGAAAGAGAGGAGGGAGGGGAGAGGAAAGAGAAATGGGAGAGGAAAGAGAAAGGAGAGAACGGTAGAAAGGTGGAGAGAGATATGAGCAGTGACGGAGAGAAGCGAAGAAATCAATCAGTCGATCTAACGATCAATCAATTGAGGAAGGTGCAGGATCAGAGGTTGTTCGAAGGTTATGATCAATAATCAGTCGATCTAGCGATCAATCAATTGAGAGATCGATCACTCTCTCCATCCTCTTATTCACTAGCGTTCATCCATCTATCAATCCTTCAATCAGTGCACAATCAATCACTGAGCAATTAACCCATCAATCAACCGACCAATCAACCGACCAATCAACCGACCAATCAACCGACCAATCAACCGACCAATCAACCGACCAATCAACTGGTCAGGTCAATCAATGAAGTGACCAAGGAATCAATCAACCGATCAATCGATGAATGAATGAATGAATGAATGAGTAAATGAATGAATGAATGAATGAATGAATGAATGATGGAATGATCGAATCAAATCCATCAACCAGCCACCGAATCAATAGATCGATCGATCAATAAATGAATCTATTCCGCAAGCAAGCAATCGATCAACCATTCAATCATCTGCAGTCATCAGCCATTTACATCAACCAATACGTGATCAATCAACCAATCAATCAATCAATCAATTAATCAATCAATCCATTTCAACCCTCTAGGGACTTGCCACTTTGAGGTGAAAAACGAGATTACCCCTTCCGTCCGTTTAACCCCCTTTTAATTAACCCCTTTTAACCCTAAAACCCTAAATCCTAAATTCATTCTGGAATCCCCTCTCAACCCCTTTTGTCGCTTTAACCCTGAAACCCTAAATCCTAAATCCATTCTCGAATCCCCTCTCAAATTTTGCAGCTTAATTTTTTAATCTTGTTTTTGTTCCTCATTTCTTTTTCATAATGGCTTTCCTGGCAAATCGATTGTATCTTACCTAACGAATTCCTTGCTTCCCCCCCCCCCAAAAAAAAATAAAATAATATAAAATAAAATTGTATCTTAACTTTTTCCATTGCAATGTCTGGCAATGTGTCCGATTACTGTGCAGCTTCGTCGACAAAGAGAATCACCAGCCATTCTGTGGCAGCAGAAAGAAAAGAGGCGATTTCTTTTTTCTCTTCTTTAAGAGACCATTTCTCTGAGAGTAAATTGCTTAAATGGAGTAAAAACAAAAATGCGTACGTAGAGTCGACTGACGATTTCGACGGTTGAAGATCGACACGATTGACGCCATTGAGAATTGCGTAAAGAGAGACGATTGACTGAGGATTGGCACTAGCTCAGAGAGAGCTGTTGAGGATTGACGATTGCTTAAGAGTGTAGAGATAGATAGATAGATAGATAGATATAGATAGATAGATAGATAGATAGACACACACACAGAGAGAGAGAGAGAGAGAGAGAGAGAGAGAGAGAGAGAGAGAGAGAGAGAGAGAGAGAGAATTGATTGGTTAAAGAGTGTGGGAGGGATGCAATGGTGGATGTGGCGGATGACCACAGTAAGAGTGTGCATGCTGTGAAAAACTTGCACAGTAAAAGAACACCAGCGTCGTCAGCATGGGGAGATGAACCTGTTGAGGATTTCACGGACAAGTTCACAGTGAAGCGGCCGCGGATCGAGAAGAAACCGAGGGAGACCGACAAGCATCGAATAAGTCAGCGGCAAAAGCAGATCGACTTTGGCAAGAACACGCTGGGTTATGGGAGGTACTTTGAACTTGTTCCTCGAAAAAAGAGGAAACGTGGAGATCCGCAGACGCCTGATCCTTACCAAGTCTGCAGCAAGCGCAGTTGGGATGGTCAGGTGCGCAAATGGCGGCGCCTCCTTCACGAGTACGATCCGCCCAGCGATGGTGAGAAGGATGTAGACGGCGATGCGGATGCTAACAAGAGCACCAAATCTGACGACGACGACGATGTCAACGACGACGACGATGTCAACGACGACGTTGATGACATGTGCTCGGTACAGAGACAAGAGCGCAATCTGGTGGCTGAACCTATCATGCCAGGTGGCGAGCAAGAGGAACAAGAGCGCAAGGATGCAGCAGAACAAGACAAGGACAAGGACAACGAAGAAGATGGGCAATCTCCGCCGGAAGATGAACTGACATGCGAAGATGATGAGGATCCATGGGAGAGAGCAACGAAACTGTATGCGTATACATAGATGGACAGGCAACATAGACACAGCCACAACCACAAGAAGAAGAAGAAGAAGAAGAAGAAGAAGAAGAAGAAGAAGAAGAAGAAGAAGAAGAAGAAGACAACTTCCTCTTCTAGAACATTCACAGGGTGCTGTGGCCAGGGTCTGCTGGGACTGAACTGGAGTCACTAGGGTGCTATTGCCACATCAGCAAACTGAGCCTGATCAACGCTTCTGTGCTGATGTGGCGAGCGTTCAGCTCCAGCTCCAGCGGTACACAGAGGGATTCCACGGAGAGCGAAGCTGCATTTTTGATGGATTCGTTGATTCCAGAAATACGCCGCAGGAATGTGACTTGTGGTGCAGCTGATGATCGCAGGTACACGCTCTTTTTTCCATGTCCAGGGTCTGCTGGGACTAAAGTGCACTAGGTGACCAAGTGAGCCTAATCAACACTGTTCTGTGCTGACGCGGCAAACATCCAGCGGTACACATAGGGCTTCCACATGGAGAGAAGCAGCGTTTTCGATCGACTCGTCGATTCCTGAAAGTGCCGCAGGAAAGTGACATGTGGTGCAGCTGATGATTGCAGGTACACCACACACTCCTTCGAGGCTTCTTTAAGCTGTCGTGGTCCTTGCGCATTAATTTCCTACGCGGAAGATTGCTGAAGTAGACAAGGTAGTTTTCATGTTTGTACCGTTGTGCGGTTGTAGATTATTCGACAGAATCAACACATATAGATATGGGTGTGGATGGCGTAATTGTTGTGCATCAACTTCGTACGGATAAGATGGTGTGGGGTCCTGGTCCACGGGGCACGAGGGGGTTGAGGGCCCCCCCAAGAGGGGCTGGAGGGCCCAAGGATGAAAGCATCCGTAGCGTGGAGCTGGCGAGCAAAAGCCTGTATGTTGCCTCACGAAGGGAATGAGCAGAAGTGAATAGGAGGAGAAGGTCACTTTTTCTGTGGGGAGAGACGGAGGGGTGGGGTGGGGTGGGGGAAGAGGTGAGGGTTGGGATGCGGCCAAGCCAAGATCCTGTAAACAGCTTGATGATCATCTCTCATTTGGCATTGTTTTTTTTTTTTTTTTTTTTTTCCCTTCCCCCCGTGATGTTTTTTTGAAGCTTTGATTGACCATTTCCTTAGGCAATAAACAACACAGACCCTCAGCAGCCAGGACGGAATTGAAATGCAGAGAACAGCAGTGCCGTGCTCGGCTGACGCACACAAAAAGGGAGGGGACACTACGACTCTCACTCGGATCAGAATACTGCTGGGAATGTGGCTAGATGCCGTTGGTCGTCAAGGGACATCCATGTGTGCCTAGATGCATTCGGACAGGGCTTGTTGTGGCCCTTTATATAGCACTTGGGTGTTTTTGATGCTGATGTTCTCGGTATCGTTTCGATTCGAATGGATGTCCGAAGGACTAGCCTTTCCAAATCTATGTGCATATCTATGTGGAAACTTAGAGGACATAACACGAGTGAATCGGGTGAGGAGTATTTGGGCTCTCTTCCACTGAACTGGAATGACATGTAATACCTCTCTCTCTCTCTCTCTCTCTCTCTCTCTCTCTCTCTCTCTCTCTCTCTCTCTGGTACTCTGTTGCGGCTCCGGGCCCCCTCTTCTCCATCTCAATCAACGCAACTATTTCTTGACTTGGTTTCTGTCTCTGACATGTTCTTCTCTCTGTCCCTCCGCCTTGCTCTTTATGTCCGCAAGTCCATAGAAAGCTGCTGTGCTTTCAGCTCTCCGTGATATGTTGCCTGTCATCGCTGCTGCAGTCTATAAGTGTGGATGGTCTCAAGGCCTGGTCGTAGTAGGGCTACAGCAATGCGATGCAATACTGCGAACGTGGGCAGGAACAAGATCGGAAACATAGACACGAACCCGGCCAGCAATGCAGGCTTTGCACAGGCAGGAATGTTGGCAGCAGCAAGGTGGATGACAATGTAGGGAGAAAAACCACAGCCAGGGGCCAATGCAGGGAAGGACCACGGCCACCCGAGCCTTGCCTGAGCGTACCCCTTCACCTCAGCAACACGACACGATACTGCGAATGTGGGCAGGAACATGAACGGAAACATAGACAGGAATCCAGGCAGCAATGCAGGCTGCACATGTGGTTAACGGGGACCCCCCAGTTTCAGCTCCTGGGTAACAGGTCCAAAACTGAAATTAGGCTTTGGGGGTGAAATTTTATGGTTTTTTTTTTTTTTTTTTTTTTTGCCTGTTTTTGTCTTACTTCAAGGTTGTTGTGTAACAAATTTGGTCTCATTTGGAGCACTGGAATTTCCTCTGATAAGACCATTTCCAAAAACGCTGAAAATTCTGAAAATTCGCTGAACCCAAAATGTCATTCAAGTGCACTTTTGCCTTACTGTTTCACCCTGTTTTTATTTTATTTTTTCGTTTTTTTTCTAATGGTTTGTTAATATGGTGTGCACTCTATGGAATGATGCAATTTTTGGTTAAAAAGGGCTTCTGGTTTTCTTATAAATAGCATTAAAAAAATGCTGAAATTTTAGGTCTCCGTTAACCGCCTCTCACCCACCCCTCTGGCCGTCCCCCTTTGGACTGCATTTGCCAGACCCCCACACTCATGGGATTCTTTTTTTTTTTTTTTTTTACATTTATCGAATTCTTATGGCCATGCCGTGCTGCAATAGACTTGGGCAGCTATGAACAGGCACAACCGACTCCTGCTGCTGTGTCCTGCAGACTCCTGCTAGTCTGCTGCGGGACACTGTGGGGCCTGTCTGGAAAGTACTCTCCAGGGCCCTCCTGTCCCAGTCGACCTGACGTTGGTTGCCATTTTCGTTTACTCTTTTTTTTTTTTCTGTTAGACTGTAACCCATTTTATCCGCATCATTTTTTTTTCCGTATTGATTACAGAATTTGCCGGTGACACCACTTTTTGTTTGCCGGCACGTTGCGGCCTTTTCTTCACTTTTCGGACAGGACGGCCTTTCAGGTATTTTTATTATCATTATCATCATCATAGTATTACGGGGAACCTGGTAGCAGACACATCCATGTTCAATGAGGGAACATGTGGGAGCTGCACCTGGACAGGATGGCCTTTCAGGCGTTTGTTTGTTTGTTTGTTTGGCCCTTTTTTTTTTTTTTTTTTTTGATAAAGTGGTAATTTGCTACTTTGGAGGCTGGCACTTTTCACATCCTTGTTCCTGGACTTTCTTTAAACATTTTTTACTTCTTTCGAACTGATGCAGGACAACTTGGTAGGTTAGAGTTTCTGGCGAGATTCCGTCTTTTTTGGGTGTTCCTGCTCAGGCCTGTTTTTAATCTGTTGTAAGTTGGAATTGGCTGGCTTTGTTTGCTATGTGCGAGCCTTACCGTCTTCACCCGAATAGAACGCACGGTCATTATCGCTGCATCTGGACCGAAAGTTGTGCCAAGTACAACTATAATGACTGGGCGCGTTCCATTCGGATGAGGACGGCAGGAAAATTGAGGCACTGTGACCCATCTTTCTGGCGCTCTTTGTTGGATATCGCTTCCTTCTTCCCTGACTGGATGGGCATGATCCTCCATGTCGAGGTCTGTGTTTGCAATTTCGTACGCACCTTAACTCCGACAATTGTAGCACACCCCTACGTGCACCCCGAGTCTCTTCCGCCTATTTGTGCTTTCTCTTTTACGCCATCCACCGCTCTCCCCTCGCCCACAGATCGATAAATTCTCTTGACTGTGATCCCTTGTCTTTTGCTCTCCCATCTTTTGCTATGCCAGTAGGATGTTGGTCGCTTCACTGGTGATTAGACAATTTAGACGACCCAACTGACATTTGTTTTTCAGATGTCAAATATCAGATTTTGCTGTATGCATCGAGTGGGGCGACAAGATCAGCTTCCACTGGTGATTACCGTACCCACAAAAATTGCACGTTGGATGCATCGAGTTGTGCCCCCCCCCCCCCCCCCCCCCCCAAAAAAAAAAAAAAAAAAAGACTGGGGCGACAAGATCAGCTTCTAGGAACACCAGATAGATGTCCTGACAAGCTGATGGCCAAGTGTTCGCTGCACTAGATTGCTCGCACTAGATTGCTCACACTAGATTGCTCACACTAGATTGCTCGCACTAGATTGCTCACACTAGATTGCTCGCACTAGATTGCTTTCACTAGAGTGATGGAATTAGTCTATATGGTGTTTTCAAGTGTGTGCTGCACGAGATTGCTAGCACAAGCCTTGCCCTGGTGGTTCTTCTGCAGTGCAAGGTCTCTCGAGCAGACAGGTCGATACTCTGGCGGTGAGATGTGGAGGATGAATACAAGGTGTGGGAAGATTATGACATTTCCTTGTGAAATTGAAGTTATGCGGAACCTTTCGTCTTTTAAGATTGCAAAGTCTAGTATATAATTTTTTGTTTTTTTTGCCCTTTTTTTTTTTTTTTTGCCCCTGCTCCCTTGGCTGTGGTTTTGCAGGATGGTAGATAGGGACAGTGGGAATGTCGTTAATCCAACGAGCCCATCCATCATTTTTATCAAATTTCATGTTGCTCTTATTCTCAGTCTGTTTGGGTGTGTGTGCAACCCTCTCCTCTCTCTCTCTCTCTCTCTCTCTCTCACACACACACACACACACACACACACACACACACACACACACACACACACACAAGGCACACGGGGATGTGGGCAGCTGCCGCTCAACCACAATCAACGTGGGCAGCCTTGCGCGTAAGAGGCACAGTAAACGGGGAGCTGCAAGAACAATGAAAGGGGTACCCCAAGAACAACCAAAAAACTGTCTAATATGTTGGACATCTCAAATGCTCTCGTTGTCTTCAATAGGATAAAGACTGCTTTGATCTGAATCTATTCACCTGGGTGGAATTGGGGCTGTTGTGGGGAAAATCTAAAACACACACACGCACACACACACACACACACACACACACACACACACACAGCTATTGTACTTCATGTTGCTTGCTATAGAGGTGAAATTGTTTCATTGTTGGGTTGTCTGAACTCAAAAGGGTTTCGTTGTCTGTAATGGGATTAAATTATTATGCGTTGATTTTGGATCTGTTCATCTGGGTGGAATAGGGGCTGTTGTGGCGAAAATTCAAAACACACACACACACGCACACACACACAGGTGTGTGTCTGATGTTGCTTCTTATAGAGGTTAAGCTGTCTGAATTTTGGATCTGCTCATCTGGGTGGAAAAGAGGTTGTTGTGCTGACAGTTTACAGTACACACACACACACACTCGCACAGGGCCCTGCTTCGGCGGCAGACGGGTGTGTGGGCACTTGGCGGCGCTGAACCACACAAACGTGGCCAACCTTGCATTTTCTATTATATTGTCTATCTATACTATTTCGTTATGGATGTTTTGTTATGATTTGTCGAGGAAATGAGAGAGAGAATTTGGGGTTTAGGGTTTATGAACACACTCGCACACACACTATGGCTCTTTGTACTTTTGACCAACTTCCCCTTGTAGATCTTTGTGATCCCTGTCTGATTGTGTTCTTGCGTTTTTCTTGCGAACGCAAACTTCAACATGGGAAACTCTGTAGGAGGGGTTAGGGGGTTGGAGGGCGGTGTAGGGGGGGGTTAGTGACTGCTTGTGGGGGTGATTTCTATCTGGCGGCTCTCTGGGAGCTGAAGAGGAAGGGTTACTGATCCCCCCCTACGCCGGTCGGGGTGCTGTTGGGAGGAAGGGTTGCTGATCATGACCGCGGTCGGGGTGCTCTTTTGGAGCTGAAGAGGAAGGGCTGCCGATTCCATCCTGAGGCGAAGCCGGGTAATGTCCCCGGCGACTGTCCGTACTGTGTATCTGTGACACTGGACCCGGTTTCCAGCAGGTGCAGCTCCGCACCGATCGACGGCACCCATCAGTGGGCTGGTGCAACGGGGAGGGGACCCTCATAACCTGCCCCCGCCCCCCCCCCCCGTAGCAGGGAAACTTCGCTGGCGTGCCTCATTCTTGCATGAAGGTCGTTTGTGTGTAACCGATTGCATTTGTCGTGCATGGAAGCATGTACTGTGGTCATTAATTGTTTTTTTGTTTGGTTGTTATGGACTGACTGCCGAATCCTGCGCGCAGTACATCACTTGTCGACAATCCGCCAACGTTTGGAATTATGTATGAGAGAGTTGATGTGTGTGGACGTGATGTGAGAGTAGCGGTGGGAAGAACCCATAGTCCAATCGTGTTTCCGAGCGAGCGTTTTTTGGGGAGCAGCACGTGCTGGGAACTGGGCCCAGCGTCCCATCTGGAATTATACAAAACATGTGAAATACCGGGGCCATTACCCGGCCTTGGCTGAGCATATACATGTAATTTAAAAGATGTTGTGATCGCAGGTACGTGCTTTGCTCCTCCTCGCCTTATTTCTAGTCGTTACAATGTGCTATCTTTACGAGGCGCTCCTTCCCCCCCCGCGAGTGTTTGCGCTCCTGCCCCCCCCCCCCGCGAGTGTTTGCGCTCCTGCCCCTGCCCCCCCGCGCGAGTGTTTTACAAGTGTCGCAAGAGTGGGCACTTTATTAAAGCACCCCGATACATTTCCCAGCCGACGAAATAAAATGTGCGGATTGCATGCTGCCACAACTTTTGCGGCTGGCCTTGTGCGTGCACCCTAGTCGGGAATCTGAAGACAAAACTCTCGACTGAAGTCCCTGTGGGCCAGGACTTCGCTCTCTGGTCTACAGACTCTACACCTAATAACAAGTCCTTATGGTCCTGGCTCCACATCCATTCTGGGGTGAACAGGCTACACCTAACCGCTCCCAGCGGGCAAAATCCCGGTCTGGAATTGGAATTTTGCCCAGGTAATAAGTTGAAATTTGAATGTTTAAAATTTAAATACATTCTACTCTAGGAGTCTGGGCTGTGTCAAAAAAAAAACAAAGAGGAGGAGTCTGGGCCGTGTCTCAGTCCCAGTGTGGCTGATCATGTGAAAAGACCAGCGAAGCATCACCGGCTTGGTCCTTCGGAGCAAAATGGCTGGCGGCACAAGCGAAAACGAGGCCTGCGAAGGTTCACATTTTTTTGGGGGGGTGGAGAGCGTTTCCCGCCATGGAGAAAAGCGCCCAGGTAGTACTGGTGGTGTCAACTTTAGACTTTAAAGCACCAGTCTGTGAGCAAGGTCTGGTCTCTGCTGGTTAGCCTGCCGTCCGTTTTGTGGATGTACGGGACTGCCTCCACCCGGCTAAATTCATTCATGATTAAAAAATCTTGGAGGCTTGCATTGCAGGGAAACGTAGTTGTGGTTAAAAGACTGTCCTGGCCGACAACACAGGGGTCTTGGGCTCGACATATAACTGCCTGCCAACATCCAACTGCGGCGGGGAAAAGGGGGCCAAAAAAAAAAAAAAAAAAAAAAAAACACTACAGCTACCCAAAACTGCCATTGGAGTGAAATCTGCATGGTCCTCAACAGCTGCCGACCTCTGCCGTTGGGTGGCTACTTGCGCTGACGGGATTGTGAGAACGTACCTGGCCTCCCAGACCCTACTAGCCTGGATTTCCCGCAACCAAATGAGCTGCACCTCGTATTATTACACTTTGTCATTTTGTATAGAGAAAATATTAAAGGAGAGCAAGCAAACACAGAATTCATAGGGGTTCACTGGCTTATGATGGGATGTGAAGCTGCAGTCAAGAGAGAGAGAGAGAG